ATATATACTTGAAACAAATTATTAATTTAATATTCTGATTTTAAGCGTTAGATTAAAGCGAACAAAGCGACTTCGTCAAGGGTTAAATAATTTCTGTGTCGACTTCATAGTAATGGTTGATGCTCGTTCGCAGATGTGAATCATATTTGTGAAAATGCTGAAATTAGATTTACGAACCCCTCGTTTCCAGAAAGTGAGACTAATCAACTATTAACCCTCCACGTTTCTGGTATCAGCTTGTTGAAGTTCAAACACGTATAATGAAGGTTGATGTCGTCGTTTTTTCTCATTCTTGTTCCTTCGTGATAAGAGAAAATTTGTTGGAAGGTTCTACACAAGTTGCGAAATAATACGAAGGCCTCTTTGTGTGGAAAATTGTCCTGGAGACATGAAATATTTATTACGAATAAAATCACGATCAATCATCAGACAATTGGGCGTATTATATTTTTGAGGAAATTCTGCTATCGATTTGTAAATATTAATATCAATTACTCGCAAATAGTACCGATACTCGAGAATTTAAAGGATAAATCTTAATTAATCTAACCATTTTTTTTTTAATAATAATCACGATTCTCTTTGAATTTATATAAAAACATAAGAAAAATAACATTTTTGTGTTCTTTCCCATCCAGATTTCAAATTGCTACGATAAAGTACCAAAATCATATTATTATATATAGATTTATTTACATCCTGGTTTCTTGTGTCGATGATATAATTCTCTTTTTAGACGTTTTAAACGTACGTATTCCTTTAATAAGCGGCTTGTATGCGGAAACGTATAATTGGACTTTTCTCCCATGCGGCACAACGCAAAAATTACGACCGTCGGCTGACCCGCATTTCGTGCTGAACTACTGAAATAAGAGCATCATAATTCTAATATGAGAGAGAAGTCTCATAAATAGATAAAACAGCGCGATTCGATAGACATCATAAACGGTTTATCAATAACGTTTATTCATACGCTTTCGCTTACTCCATTCAGAAATCAACTTTCTGAAGCCAAAAAAAACGAGGTTTCATGTTTGAATTACACATATATAGTTTTCACATTTGCAGTAAGAAAAAGTTGTTAGTAAATTTATTATTTGAATTACAGAAATTTTAAAATCTTTTTTACACCATAATATTTAGAATTATTTGCGAAATTTGTTTAACATTATTTGTTAATTTTTTAATCAAGATCCGCAAACTTTTAATTCTAATATCGAGCATAAGGTGGCAGCAAATAAATGAAATGATCGTTGTTTATTTCGTATAGCAGCAAAATGATTAGAGCTGCATATGTGCCTGCTTTGGCATTTATGGGGGCATTTATACTGACTGGTGGTTATATATAACGGTACAGCAAGGGTAGTTAGGGGTGCGATACTATCAGCGGAGGCGCCTCCAATCATTCCCCAATTAGCAGCTGATTGCGTACAGTCCCCAATAGAACTTCGAACAGCTATAGCTTCGGTTAACTGAGAATCCTGAGAAGAGGGAGAGAGAAGAGAACAGATAGAAAGAGAGAGAGGAGGGGGGAGGGGAGTGAGCTGAGTTCTATATAGAGTGGAAAGGAAGATAGGGTTGGAAGTAAACGATAGGCGGAGGAAGGGGCGATTTGCAACATTAATATCCAACGATGCGAAACGGCCCGAGCGCAATATCGGTGATCGCGCAAATTGCGATCGGCAATGGCGATCTTTATATACGGACTCGTGCGAGAGATAATATAATGGTGTCATTAAAGATAGCGCCATTCTACGGTCGTATTGTTATTGGAAAATCGTCTGGCGCCGCTGTCCTTTGGGGGTTAAGTCTCATTTTTATAGCTCGCTGCTTGATCTTCTCTTTATAGCGGTAGGTGATGGATTCCATTGAAATTTTCATTTTTGCAGCAATAACTGATTGAAAGATCTAGTGAAAGAGAAAGAGGAAAATATTATTAATATGTTGTTAATATGTTATTAATATATTATGAGTTTGCAATTAATTAAAATTGTACAATGAGAAAAGAGTTTCATTGCATTACTTTTGAAAATGGACAAATCAGAATTTTTGTGATGGAATTTATTATAATTCTAATTGATAACTAGAATTTTATTAGAATTGATGTGATCAGAAGCTTCTGGTTCGTTCATTTTCAACCAAAATTTTTTTTTAATGTGTATCCTTGTTTTTTTTTATGTCTAAAATCGTTTATTATAGATTTAGGAATTATTCAATGTAATTAATAAGCAAATGCAGTCGAATAGAAATATTTGAAAATATTTAAAAAGATCTAAATGTTTGAATGTAACATTACGAGATATATTATTTTTTTTATAGCTGTCATTTACGTGTATTTCTCGATCGGGAGCTGAACGTATCATAGTCATGTTCTAGCACACTTCATGTACAATAGTTATCGTTATCGAAAACTGTTTTCATTTCTATCAAATTCAATTAAACAAGCCTGAATCCTTCCACATGGAGATAAATACTATCGTGTTAGAAAAATAAATGACGAGAGGTCTCTGCAAACATCGGTTTCGACGGTTTGATTAATCTTGAATCTCTTGTTAGCGGTGATCTCGTCGGTTTAATCTTTTTTTCCATCGACGCCAGACAGAATTGCAAATCAAATTTTGTCAAAAATATACGTTGCTTAAAAAATAACAGGAAAATGGAAGAATAGAAAAACTCAATTAATTCACTGTATCACAGAGAGAAAACAAGAAAGTATAGAAAATCTATCATTTATATACAATTTCCATCCATCGACGTATTAAATCGTCCACATTTTTCCAAGAATAGATATTTTTCTCTAGCTATAATATTTTATGATAAATTTATAGTCTCTAAAAAATATAATATGAATTCTTATGGATTAGCAATAGCAAAATTCGATGTGTGCATACAATAAACGTTTATAATTGTTTCGTGAACATAAACGTTTACGCCTTTTATTGAGAAAAGAGAAAAAACATCATTTTAATATAGCCACGTTGTGACAATTCAACATCGGCACTTTGTGCATAACATTTGAATAAGCGATTAGTCATCAGGCAGAAAAATGGTTCAGTGAAAGAGGAGAGAGAATATTAAATGCCGAAAATAGTATTGTGCCTCCAAAAGGTGCCAAATGACAATCTCTTCTCGTTAACGTTCATTTTCTCTTTTTTAGCGGATTATCCTATTGAATTTGTTGTCGTTTAATCCGCAATGCAGTCGAGTGAATCTAGTTTGCAAAATGTTCTCTCCTCCAAATGTTTTCAAGAAAGATACTGCATTCTAATCGTTTTTGTATGTTGCAGAGTTTAGCGACCTAGCTGTTGCGGCCCATTATTCTCCGGGAACCGATAGCGGTGTTGACGGTGACGATGACAGCGTTGTTATCAGTGACAACAGTAGCAGCGATAAGGAATCGTCTGAACAAGAAGACCACCACGTGCCAACGCGGAGGCAGCTGGCCGAACAACGATCTCGACACGAATTATTCAGACGGTCTCGAAACCACTTTAAGACGTCGGGACATCACGATCAGGTGCGTCCGATGGCACGGCTCGTCGTCACTTAACGGTGTCGTGTTGGAGAACAAGAGTGGAGTGACGATACTGAGAACATGTTGAGTGCCTGCGGTCGCGATCGAATGATAAAATGCGTCCGTTGAAGGTGGTGATACAGCTATGAATTTTTTTACAAATAATCTTACGAGAGGTAGAGTTATGTGATTTCGATTCGAAATGCTGCGACAAATGAGTGATGTAGCGAGAACAATTTCTATTGTAGGTTGAGAAAAAATTAACAAGGAAATTGTCGGAACTGTTCCTCACTGATTTTGATGGATTTTAAATATGTTGTAGAACTTCAAAAAATATCATACAGATATTTTCTCTATCTGTTTATTTCAAAGTTAAGAATCTTTTAAGATCAGATGATTTAAAAAATATGATATTTAAAAAAAATATGAACACACTATTAAGAAAATACACGTATAAAATATAAAAAAACTTTTATATATATAAGATTTTTTCATACATCTTACAGTTTCAAAGATATTTGTTAATGAAAAAAAAATTGTTACTTTTGAGAGGTTGAATCTTGAGATAAACAGATAAAAGAATATGTCTCTAGAATCTAATATTTTTTAATGCCTCACAACATATGTAAAACCTATTAAAATTGGCGAATAATTGGCGATAATTCCGACTTTCCTTGTAAGTCAAGGCTTATACGTATTGCGTTTTAAAAGATTATTGGATTAATGCGCTTATTCGAAAAGTATTATTGAAAAATCTTACGGCGGCAAAACTTAGTATTATTATTCTTTGTCTTATTTTCACGATTTATATTTCACTAATTTTACATTTTTAAATATAACTTTATAAAGATTTGTCTATAAACAAATTATATCATTGCCCTGACACAACGAATCATGTCGTAAATGAAAGAATCATTAAAAAAATAGAAATTTTAATTTTATCCATCTTTCTTTATTTATATTGCAGCATCTTGTTACGTGTGACATAAGCGCGTATATTTTACGTCGTTCAGGAAATTAACCCTTCTTCGTTAACATCTCCTTCAAAGAATTTCTTATGAGTACGTACGGAGAAACTACGATACAATTACGCGGAAGAACATGAAGTATTTTCGAAAGCGAATGTTTCCCTTGAAAATCGAATCGAGATAGTATACATTGCGGCGCATGAACACAGCGAAATGTGAAATTAAGGAAACCTACAGATAGCAAACGAGAAAAATAGAACTTCGCGAATTTCTGTCGGTCACGCACGCGTTTTCGCGTGTCCCGAACAAATTACGACGATATTCTTACGTATTTATATTTGTCTCTCTTGACGTTTTGTTTCCGCGATCATCACACAAATCACACAAATTATCGCAATTCCCTTCACGAATCTATTCTCCGCGACGTAATGGCGAATACCCAAGTAATTTCGGGAAACGTGCAGGTATAACACTCGGCAAAAAGAACACGCAGAAATGTTCACTGCCACTCTCATTCCAGCCGCATTAATTTGCGTAAATTATGAGTTCCCGGTCTCTCATAAATAAATCCTAATTAGAAACAGATTTTATATTTCCATATTTTACATTTTTAATCAATATAATGTTTCACATAAAACGAACATACATTGCATATCTCACTTTCCTGTTTGCAGTATTTTGATATTGTCAAAAATATGACAAAAAAAAAGAGAGATCTCCTCTTTTCTTTCAAATGCCGAATGCAACGATTCGATTTAAAAAAGTTTACTTCATTATCATAATGTTAACAATAATCATAAATGCCATATCGGATCGCTTATGAATATTTCACAAGCTATATGTCATTTTCTGATTATTGGTTTCTTTGTTCCTGAAACAAGAACAGAGTAAACGTGTATAGAAATTTATTGGATGTCGGAGATATGACAGAAATGTTAACGGGAGAGAAGGAAAAAAAGCCAGAGAGAAGCCGTCCAACAAAGTAGAAAAAGTCGATTCTCCGACGACTCGGACACGCGTCATCGCGTGTCCCGAACAAATTAGTGATCCCTGATTCCGCTATGGCTGATTTATTCGTCGCGGTATGCATCATCTGACGAATTATCTCCGTCCTCGTCGAGTACGCGGGCCGAGAATTGAATATGTGCAAAAATCGCCGGCAACAGCACGTAAAAGTTTCACAAACGGAAGTGCTTTAATCAATTCTCCGTCAGCGTTAATAGAAAGTAACTTCGGACGGTGACTCTCCGTGCTAATTTAAATTAATAGCAACCTCGAATGAAGTTATCGATACATTTTATTGATTATCTTGATTATCTCGATATTATTTTTACCAAACTTCGATTTAATTATTTTTTATTCATTAATTAATTTAATAATTTTTTTAATTAATTCATTAATTAATTTAATTTTTTATTGTGCGAAATTCCAGTTGCTATTCTTATTGGACATCTGTATACGCCGTTTTTAACTGGAGCATAACGAACAGAGATTAACGAGACTAACACACTAATGATGGTAACGTTAATTACCGCCTCACATAAACCGTTTAATCGTCAAGCGAGTGGACGCACTAATTAGGCGCTGCTCGACAATCAAGTAATCTCAATTCAAGAAATCATAGAACCAGAAATTGAATTTCTCTTAAAAATATTTGTTTAGTGCGCATAAAAATTCCCTCGATTCCATCAATATGACTTAGCAATTATTTAAGCAAGATTTATTTTATTTATCGCTATTAATGCGCGACTAAAGAATTTTTTAATTATTGTTCCATTGTTAATTTGTGTTACATTATTTGCTTATTCGTTTTAAATAGGAAATATCGTAAAATGATTAATAAAATGAAATTCGCAAGTCAAGAATAATTACATTGATTTAATCTTTCACAGAATTAAATGGACGTTCAGTTTATTTGGCTATTTAAATAATGTAGAGTTCGTTTAATATGATACACGATCTATTTCATATTATCGCGTTACATGATTATCAGAGGATTGAAACAGGTCGCACGCATTTCATGTTATACACACCAGGGAAAACGTTGTATCAGCCTCGTCATGGAGCTTTTGTATAAAATATAGCGAAGTGAGTGACAAATGTGAAAGTGCACTAGATATTTTAATCGAAATAAGCCATTTATTAAGATCTGAAATAGCATTTTATAAATTAATAGCGCTTGTCGATAAACGACATAAACAAATATCGTTGGCCTAAGTAGAGAGCGGTGCAACGCTTTCTATGTGTGTATACTTGTGTATAAGTGTGATTGCGTTCGCTATTACTTTACCAGTACCATTACATTAAAAAAAAATTTGTACAAGAGCGCTAATTGTAGTACTATATACCGCGAGTTTTTCATCGACATGTACAAAAATGCTTTCCTCCTCAGTCGACAAGCGAATTTGCAAAGATGTACACGCACGTCTGTAGATTCGCCTTTCGATAAGCGTTCAAAGACACGAAAGAACGCGACTAGAGAGAGAAACACGGATGTTGCAGTCTAGATTTACAATAGATAAACGAGACACTTAATTCTTAAGATAGAGAGTTTCCTACATAGATGACATGCGAGCGTGAGATTCGCACCGAATTTGATCGTTTAAGGCAGACATCGACATATCCCAACCAGAACAAAAAAGTTATGATGACATCGAAATGATTCCAAAATAATTATTAATTTTCTAATAATAAGATCGGACTCAAACGTGATTTTAAAGCTTTGTCAGTCAAAGTATATTTGTTTTACTGCAATTGTTTAAGTCAGTTAATAAATTTTATTGTATTTTATCCAATTTTATCGTATTTTATTGCTTGAACGGGAAATTATAAGAATTACTAAAAACTAAAGCATTACAATAAAAATTATGTACAATATATTATTTTATCCAAGGAATACATCAAGTCAAGAGAAAATCGAAACGACTTTATTTTGACATCATGACAGTCAAAATAATTTTTTTATTATAATTAGCTATTTATTGATCTTAATAATCAAAATAAAGTCATTTTTATTTTTTTGTTGACTTTTGTGTGTTCTTTACTTAAAAAAAGTTTTCTTTGTTTATCTACATATTTTTTTGTTTATTATTATAAGGGAAGAAGTTTTATATTTATTGTTTACTTTTTTTTATATTAATTAGAGAAAAATGGACAAAACAGAGCGTGAGTCGAATCCATCAAGATACAAGATAAGATCCTGAAAAGCTAAGAAAAAACCTTACTACCTATGGGGGAGATAAAATTATTTTTCGATCAACGACGAGTCATTTTAATGTTATCATGACATGTTCTGCTTCCTAAGGAACATATGAAAGTCAACAAGAAATCAAAATGACTTTATTTCTATTCTTAACATCAATAAACAGTTAAATTTTATAACAAAAAAATCATCGTTTTGACTTTCATGATGTCAAAATAAAGTCATTTTGATCTTCTCTTGAACTTGGTGCGTTTCTCGGGTTGGGATTATTCCACATTCACGAGTGCAACGCAGCACATGTGATTTTTTTGTAAATACGGGAGTGAGTGCAGCGAGGACGGTGTCGAAAAAAAAACGAGTATGATGCTTCGCCCTATTCTTTCCTATTTTCTCGCGAAGGAAACTAGTCAACGAAGAAAGCCGTGCGATAATTGTGCCGCCGATCTCTTCTATAGAGGGACAATGTAGGTCGCGTGAGCTTGGCTTCTTCTTGCGTGTGTACGTACGTGTGCGTGTGTGGTAAAAAACTCTTCAAAAGAGGATTGATAAGCAAGCATAATGATCTAGAAAAAAACGATCATTCGCGATCTTGGGAATACTTTTCCGGATTAGTCCAGGCGTGCGTGATGACGTAGATGATGAAGAGATAAGAGAAGATGTGCGCGTGTAACACAGG